TGTCAATATAATTATTTTTAAGTTAAATTAGTTTACTTTTATTATAATTTCACGAATGTATAGTTTTGGGCTAACTAAATTATAAAACGTATGAATATTAGCTCGAATTAAATACAACAAATAAAATCATTATCATTTTTTGCTTAATAACAAGTATCAGTTAATAAAAATTGATGATACAGTCGAATAATAAGTTAAAATCATAACTGTTTTATAAAATACAACGCGAAAATATATCATTATACGTCAGTTCATAGGACGTTACTTCGTAGGTATAATTATTTACTAAAATGATAAATTCATTTAAATCTTTTTTATATTGAAGATAAAAGAAAAATCAGCTAATCTTGCACGTCGGTGGTGAATAAGGAAGAGGTTACTGTGAGGTCGTGCGAATCGATACTATCGTCTTCATCATCATTATCATCTATTTTATAGGCGGCACTTGATTGTTAGTATTCAATAGGCAATTGGGTGATGACCAATCACAGAAAAATATGGTATCCGATTCGTGATCGATAACCAATATCACCTTTGTACAGATCTGATGTAATTATAAAAAAAGAAAATTACTGTTTTTTTCAAAAGGTAGGGTTTAACTTTGGTCTGTTATTTTCAAGTTGAAGATAATTGTTTAACATTTTTACATATACAGTTGCATCTAAATTGGTACAATGTACCGAGTAAAATGTATATACATTGCAATAGAATCCTAAAAGCACATAATACTGACTACACATTTTTTTATGTTTAAACAAATATTTCATACTCTAACTGACCACCAAATGCGTATACAAAATAATCAGGGTGATCGATTTATCGTTAACGACTAAATATCTCCTAAAAAAAAATAATTTTTAAAATAAAACAAATATTATTTTTTTTAGTACTATTTAGTTATTAATATGCAAGTGAATAAGTATTTTTAAGTCTTGTTCTTATCCCTTATAATAGTAACAACTTATTTTTTGCGCTAAACACATACAGTATGTGTTTAGCGTTGATAATGGTAACATTGTTTCCGAAATACGTATCCGCGATTCTTTAATAATTTTTTATGCTTTTTTGAGTTTATAATTTTAAATATTTTTTAGTTTTAAATTAATAATATTTTTTAATATAGTTTTTAATCTAAATAATATTAGACACAAGTGATCAATTTGTATTATATAACACGCATATTTATTTCATATAATAGAAATTTATCTAACTAAAAAACAATGACTATTTGGTAACAACTTTTGAACCAGTACATTGGAATTTATTACCATTCTAAATGATGAATGGAGGAGAGGTGCCGGTACTCCCATTTTTACTACTACACTATTACTTCTCCCATCTAGTTATAAAAATGTTAGTAAATTTCGAAATATTTTTAAATTTATATTACTTGATACATTTTTTTCAGGTAACAAATATTATTGTTTCTTATCATCATTTTTGTTGACTGGTCGGATAAAGGAAAATTCATCATTTAGTAACAATTAGAAAATAACAACACAAGATGAACCATAAAGTGTTAATAATGACATCATCATAAATCAATGGATAGTAGTTTTAATGACATTGATAGTATACTTTTAAATAATCGACTTACTGCATCATTTAAACTCATTATCTGTTGCAAAGTGATAAGTTTGATGTCACTTAAAAAAATGTTCATACTTTTACAATTTATAAGAAAAATACATTATGAAAATATAGATATTGTCTTTCAAAATTTTTATTTTATTACGTTATCATGATTCAATGTCATCATCTTATAGATGGTACCACTTCGCGACCTTTGTTTACAAAGTGGAGAGTGATAAAGTTCGGGTCACTTGATTTGCCACCTACTCTTGACCTTGTATCCTTACTAAGTATAACTTCCACATAAATCTATAAGTACTCTCATAGCTTAAGTCTTTGCTTTACATTAAATAACGCTAGCATCGCCATACACGACACAAAATCGTGCCCTCAGTGCAGGGTGCAAAAATAAAAGCAAAAGAAAATTACGATTTGTATTGTTGCTCAGAGATTGCATACTTGAAATCCTCCTAAGCGATCCACTTAACGCGTTATTTGTATCATTGTTATTGTTCTTACACATCTTTTGCATACCAAACATTGCTTACTTACGAGAACCGTAGTAGTAGTTATCTGTGACATAAGATCGAAAAACATACAATATGCGTATGTCCGTGTTGACTTATCTTAAGTCTATCGCGTGAACGTGCTATACACGAATGATACAAGCATATGAAGATAACAAAAGCTAATGTAATGTATTGGCAAAAAATTAATAAAACTTTTTATTTGATAAAGATATAACAAAGCCAATTGTTAAACTTTTATTTGAAAATTAAATAAATATCAAAAATCTTGTATAATAAAAATAAATTTCTTTTATAAAATTTGGTGAGAAATGTTATTAGCTTGAAATTTTACTGAATTTAGATATAATGCTGTTTTTTTTCCAAACGGATACTTTCTAAATTTGACTATTTAAATAGCCGAAATCTGATAGGTATTTTAAAGGGTTATTAGCTCCCAAAATGTTGATTTAGTTTATATTTGTTTATAGTTAAGTAATAAAATATTTGAAGGGGTATCAAAATCGAAATCCCTTATAAATGATTAATTATAATACTAAAGTTGTCGCCACCCGTACAATTCAAAGTGCATAACTGTTATAAAATTAACTATATAATTATTAACTCTTGTGAATATTGATAGACTCAAGCGTATTTATAACGTTTGACTAATGTCTGTCTATTGTTGTTCAACATGTATATGTCATCAGTTTATGAATGCATTTAAAAAACGATTGAGGCCCTTATTATGAGCACAATGGTATTAAACTGTGTATGAACAAACGCTATAAGTACTTCTCTCAGTTTTCGATATCATTCGGTAACACTCAAGTCAAAGAATTCTTCGCAAATCATATACATACAAACGATATGAGAAATAAGATATTTATCTCATATTGTTACATTTGACCCCAATCTCGGTCTTAATTGTAAGTTAGGTCTGTGTGTGACCAATAAGGTAACAAGCAGATCAAGTATTTTAGATAACAATTAAAGTGTTTATGAAAAAACGTATACATTGACCATTATATTGCTTCATGTATAACTCATATAAAAAGTATTGATTAAAAAATAATGATAAAAATATTATATATATATGAGCAATATACTTGGTATTAATATATTTAAAATGACGCACTCTCTGACCAAATAAACTTCTATTGATTTCCTACTCGTTAAGGCTAAGGCTTAAACAAGACTAAAATACCAAAACTTTAAATGATTTACAAAGAAATAGTCAAATCAAATAACTATTTAATCAATGTTAATTATTGTATGAACTTTATAATTTAATTTACATAAAATTAATTTTTTTAACACATAAGTGTCTCGGATTATTGTAAACAATTGAATCACATTACTACATAGTCCCATTACTAGAATCCATTGTAAACAAGCATTTTACATATGAAATTCTAATTAAAAAAAGTTTTACTTGCGGACTGAAACCTGTTAAGCATAAAACTAATATTATTATCAAAACTAATATTAGTTGTGATATCAATTTTTCTATTGTTGTGATAATTATTTTACATTAATCATGATAAATTCATCGGAGATAATAAACTTTAAATGGCGGTGGCCGAAATATTACAAAAATATGTAGTATTTTTTTTTGTAATACAAAATCCTGAACTGTTTTCGTTTATCCATTAATCAATGATCTTCTTAAATTTACATTCTGTCTTACGCAATCAGGAAAACGCAGAAGTGCTATAAGACTTGCAGATACTCGCGCTTACGAAAATGATAAAATTCCTGTATAAACATCCAAGATGAATGATATTAAAAAAGCATATTTCCTCAGTATTTAACTTAAATAATAAAAATGTGCTGTAATTAAGGTGTATTAATGTATTATAATAATTACGTACATGTTCTGGAATGACGTTTGTCACATGATTATGAGCTGCTGCTGCTGTTGCAGAAATGACCTGCCGTATTAATTGTCAACGCGAGTAAAATATACATTTTTTTGTTCTGAGCATAAACTTATGCGAAACACGAATGAATCTTATTGCTGTTGATAATTTATAGTGTTAGAGGTGTCGAGCCACACACGAAGAAAACGCTTTATCCAGTGATCTATGACCGGTTGGCTATCGCGATCAATCTTTTGCCAGGCAAAAAGGCGGCGTGCCGGTCGAACGCGATTTTCTCTCCACACACATACATTTGAAGACAAAAAGGTCCATTTTGCGACTCATTATTCATTTTGTACCACTTGTAAGAACTATAAAAATAAACACCACAACAAAGATCCTCCTCCGCGCAAATAAACACGAGCATGCACAATATGTCGTACGCATACGTCGAAATGTATAATATGTGAAATACTGATAATACACTCGCAGTACACCATGTTATAAGTTTTAAGGTATTTGTGTATCGACAAATATTATAGAAGCACATTTTATAAGAAAATTTGCACTTGGAGTTCATAGTGTTCATAGTGCATTATTAATATTCATTACGTTATAATCACTGATGATTTCCATCAATAGCCTATTACTTGTACTATATTTTTTAATGCTATTACTCAGTTTTGTTTATACGGTACCTATATTTTATTATTTTTTGCTTATATGACTTTCTTCTGAACGCAAATAGGGTTCTACGAGTATTGTTGTTTTATGTGCGTTACATACAATATTTAACAATATGAAAAATTTTAGCTAAGTATTCGTGGTGATTAAATTATTTAAGTAAATAAAAGAGTATGACCGTTTGAGAATAAATCCTAAATATTATAATAAACGATAATTTGTGATAAACCAATGTTAACATAGACAACAGTAAATGTAGGGCATATATCTTTCAGCGAAACTATTTTTACCTGCTACCGATTGGCGTTCGCACGACAATGTATTCTTCTGGCACTGATTTACAATCTAGTTTAAAACTAACTTATTCACATCATATGTGATACTACTGTCTGAAATTATTTTTATAAACTTTTATTTTAATTAATCACCTCAATGTGTCATTTACATTACTATTTATTAAAATAAATATAGTGCATTATAATACAAAAATGTAATTGAAACGCAAAAACGATGTGAGTATATTTTATTAGAATAGTAATAATTATTTTTAATTAAATTAAGTTAGAATAAATTTGAAACTGTATCTAGTATAACATCATCAAACAATTTCTATATTCTATTGCTTCAAATGATCTATAAAGGTATATATATCTAATGATAAACAGAGACATCAATTTTATTCAATTCTATATTATATTCATTTTATTAAAGAAATGAGTTAAAACCAATAATTGGAAGATTATATCATAATTATACTAATCAACTGGCATATAATGTCAAATTTCTAAATAAAAAAAATATATAATAATAAAATAAGAGGACTTCTAAAATAATAAATTTGAGTTTAAACGCCTCAATAAAACTTAGTAAAATTTTAACAAGATTGTTTGCTTAATACCATTTTAGTCCCTAGATATCATATAAAAATTTTTTTTGTAAAAAAAAATAACAACAAAATATTAGATTTTTTTTAAGGTGAATTCCGATTTTTGTTATAATTCGGAAATGAAAAAAATATAATTTTATTTAACATAATGTCCTGAAGTATTTCTGTCAGTTAAAAATTATTCAATTTCATTATTTTTGTACATCTCTCATTTCAGATGTATTATGATCTATAATTTGACATTCCATTAGAAAAAATTGTGGTACAGTTTTTTTGTTACAATAATATTTATATATACAACAAACTTATTGAAATTATAAAACAAAATTATTTAAAATGACAAGATTATTGGTTATATTTAAGAAAATCATGAAAAAACATCCTATTTTGCTGAATTCAACAATATATGGAACAATGTACGTCTCTGCAGAATTATTGCAACAGATATTAACCAAACAGATATTAGTTGAGTATAACTTTTCAAGATTTTCTCATTTTTTAATTTTTAATGCATATTATTTTAGAATAAAAATGATCATCCCGAACCAGTAGATAAAGGAGTATTAGTTCGTTATGCAATAATGGGTTCATGCATTACATCAAATATATTGTTTTTTTGGTAAATTGATTCAATAAGTGAATTTTATGTAGAGTCGTTATACTTTAATTCATCTGATGAGTATGAGCGAGTATTCATTTTTTTCTCTTATTTTGATTATAAATTATCGAAAAAAGTTAAAATATACATATATAATATATATATATATATATATATATATATAGTAGAGCCATAGGACAGTTATAAATTTTAATGACAAAATTATGAATTCTTTTGAATAATACAACAATATATTAGGTTTTTAAGTTAGAAATTTCATAAATTTTTGTGACTCTAATTTGAAATAAGTTTTTTTTAATATCTACTGGTTTCCCTTATTTAAGGGAAACTAAAATCATGTTATCAATATATTTAGATTTTCTACAGAAATTATTTAAAAAATAGTACTTTTTCTATGTTTGTAGATTAGCTCTATTAGAAACAAGTCCTAGTTTTGTTTATAAATAAAAAATTTTCCGATTTATTTCTAAATATATCACTACAATTAAACAATTTTTTGAAAGTTCAACCTTTGAAAAAAGATTTATCAGTAAAATATCAAAAAATTTAAATATTTACTTTTTATAGATTATGATAACTGTATAAATTGTATGTTTATAAGTATAGATGTGTAATGTTTAAGTATAGAAATTGAATTTTTTCTGTTTTAAAACTTTTAGTAATTTACGGTAAACTATAAATAAAATTCAAAATAAATTAACAATTTACTCGCTTATAAAACAGGTTAGCTGATGTAAAATGACTCAATAATCGATTTTTAAAACATGAAAAGTTTAATTTTCAAAAAATTTAGGTATAAATGGCTAGACAAAAATTTTATTGGTACTGCACCAAAAACTGTTATAAAAAAATTACTATTAGATCAGTTTGTAATGTCGCCACCTTTTTATGTAATTTTTTACACAAGTAAGTACGAACAAATTTAATGAAAATACGTTTCAACTTTATTAAAAATACATAAATAGATTTATTAAATGATGTTGATTGCACCTAATTATTTTTTTAGCCATGAGTGTTATGGAGGGGAAAAGTAATATTTTTGAAGAATGTAAGAAAAAGTTTGTACCTACTTATAAAATGGACTTCTTATTTTGGCCACCTGCACAAGTTATTAATTTTCTGCTAGTCCCTCCAACCAACAGAATAATTTACATGAGCATGTGTTCCTTTGTATGGATTAATATTTTATGTTGTATCAAACGAAAAGACTTAAATATGTTATGAAAAAAAACTTGATTATACTAATTAACTAGCTATACTTACTTTAACCTAGTAATACTTACCTGGTAACAATTTATTTTTGTTAAAATTTATGAAAATTTAAACGGTATATAAAAAATATTTTACCAAATTCGTCAGTTTTCACAATAATGTGTTTTAAAATTAAGCTATTTTTAAAAGTGTTGTGGTCAAGTAATAATTTTTTTCATAGGTATATTTTTTACACATAGGTGTATAAGGTTTAGGCTTATAAAATTTATTGACACAATTTTTTTTCAATAGCATTATTATTTTTTACGACATTACTTGATTTTTAAATATTATTTTAAGAAGAACCATATAGAGTATTAATTTAAAACAGGTTTTTCTTGTTCGTTAGTACTTGTTAATAAATATTTTTATTTATTCTTGAAATTTAAACAGTTACATATAAATCTGTAAATATTTTACGAAAATTGATATTTACTACACATTTTATTTTTCGGAGGATTATTATTTTTAATTATTAATTTATAATTTAAGTAATGACTCATAATATTGTTTTTTACTCTTACTTATTTGTGTAAAATAAGAATATTATTTTCTCATTACATTCATTCATGAAATACTGTCCCTTTCCATAATTAAAAATTTACACAACTATTCAAAATTTCGAAGATCATAAATAATGCCAAAAAAAAACATGATTATGAGCATGACTGACAATCTTCTACGGACCGAAATATACTCATGACACGGTCTCGTTCACGAAGCCCTCAAATGATAATAACAATATCTGCGGCGGTCGTTTTGAGTGATGTGTCGTATCCGTTTGCACAGTGTTACATACACACAATGAAATTGCGACCGAGCAATCTACAGAGCAAATTGTATTTCTAAGTATATAATTCTACATTTGTGAGTATTTACTGTGCACATACATTTTGTGTTTACGACAAAATACCAGTGGGTATTCTCTTTAGACAATCCGAAGATATCTCACATTTCCAATAACATTTTTAATTTTAAAAGTAATAAAAGTGTATAAAGATATATTGAAACTTATCTAGCTGTCAAAAAAATTCAGCACACAAGTTTTGCATGAAAGAAATAATTGAACTCGTGTTAATTCATACAAGTGCACCACTTTAAATATCAAAAAAATGTATTTATGTATTTCAGAAAGGCGAAAATATAAGAATAAATAATTATGTTCTATCTTTATTAGACAATTAAATTTATAAAATGAATAACATTCGTATATTTATATTTGAGATTGTTTCAAGCGCTTTAATTTCATCGCTGATACTTAAATACTACTTAATATATGAATAAATAAAAAATGTGTAAACAATTTAAAATATTCAGTGATTTTTATAAAAGCAAATAAAGAGTATGGTTAAAGTATTTTCGACAATTTCTACTTGGATCCTTTTGGATTCAGCTGTCATATCATATTTTATCCAAAGTTAGTAAATTTATCTTTTTTTCATTTTTGTATTGCATGTATCAAAATTGAATATAAACAAAAAATCTCTAACATTTAAAGGAAAAAAAACATTTTTGTAATTATATTATCTTACTCAAATAATACAATTTTTTAAAAATTTAATATTTTTTATAACAAGCTAAACGATGTCCGTAATAAATAATTGTGGTGTTGACACATTAAATAAATTTCTCTTGACTGAATCATTTAATATTATTTAACATTAAAACTATTTAATATCAGAATTTTGCAAAAAATCATTTCACTTCAATAAACTTTTTTACGAATGTATTTAATAATATTACACCCATTATATTTTTTCATCTGCTTTAATGATACTACTTTCACCTTTCCGTAAAATAAAATTATAAAAAATAAACTAAACATTTATTTTAATGTTTTTCGCTGGTTATATTCACTATACGTTAGGTAGTATTAAATATATTAAAATTTATTTCATAATTATGTAATTATAATTAAAATTCATAATTAATTAAGGAAAGTGATCCCAATTCGTTAATTTACTCTCTTAAAATATAATTGGATTGTTAGCAAATTTTGAATAACTTGGAGTAATATAAACACTGAGATTTTGAAGGAGAATATGAAATACCTTTTTATACATTTTTTTAAAAATAGATTTTAATGTTTAGACTCCAATATTGTCTAAGGGTTTACTAAATATGACTCAGCTGAATAACTGGCGGTTTTTATAAAAAGAAATAAATAGCCCTTAAAGTTACTGCGGTCATCACGTGCCGCCAAAGTCTACTCGTTGTGTATAAAGGATCTGTTTGTGGTCTTCTTGAGACGCGTAATGTTTAACGAAATTTGATATTTACCACATAAAGCTACAAAAATGATAATGTTATGATTGGCTCATTGTTTCATAGTTGCTGTAATCAAATACTATTTGATAAACATGATAATAATAAAAATTTTATTTTCAAAAATGTTTGTTTCAGTAGTAGAGTCCATAAAAGTTTTTAAAATTTACTATTGAAAGAAGAAATAAAATGGTAAATTATTGTTTATAGACGTTTTTAAACTTTCAACATGCGATATCACCAATTTTCGAAACTTGGCCAACTTGGGGGTAGATAAATTAAGAAAATTTTAATATTTCTATTAATTAATTATAATTTTAAAATTGTACCAAAATTAATTTTTCTTTCAATTAATTGTATTTTTAAGCCTTCAATTCACCTTTTCTCCGTTATGTACTAAAAATCACTTCATTTTCAGCAATTGTTTTAAATAATTTTGTTATTATTTCTATAAATTTTAATAAATTCAATATTAATAGTAAATAATCAATTTAGTTCATAATTTAAGGGCAATATTGTATACAAATATACACGAAACATAAAAATACATGTATTTAAATCATTCTTTAATAGCCGAAAATTACTCTGCAAAAAGTAAATAATCCACCATGTATTTTGGAAAATATTTTGACTCAGCTATTAACTTAATTCTATTGTTACTATTAATATCTTCATTCCTGAGGTTAGCATCTTTACAACGTTCATATTTTTTATTATCAACGGAACTTGGAGTTTTCCATACCTTACCAATATTATTAGAACTGCTACTATTTAATTTGTTATTTTTGTCCTCACTAATTTCCGTATTTTTTAAATTTTCATTAATTTTGTCAATGAAATTGTACGCATCATTTTTACACAAATGTTCTGTAATTTATAAAAAATAATTAAAATCAGGGCAAAATAAAGTTAAACAAAGTAGAAAATTAATTTTGAAAAATAGAACAATCAAATTTACGGTAATTAAAACTAATTGGTTATTTAAACTGTAAAATTTAGATTTAAACATTTTTTGAAAACTAAACCTACGTTAATAGCGCAATATTAAAAAATAAAAATAATGAAAAATTTACTTATACGATATTTAAAAATTCAATAATTGTTTAAAAATATTATATCTATACATTGTATATTCTATGAAAGTTAAAATAGATGTCTGTTAGGTCTGAGATATTTTGTGTATTATATTACTTTACCTTAAAATTGGGTTTAACGTTATTCATATAAACATATTCTAACATTTGACGTTTTTAAAGTTAATTTTGGTATTTAACGTTTACAATGTTGATCAATACATGACTCGCTAGTATAGGTAATTAAATAATAGGGTCATTATTTTCTATTCTATTAGTAATATTATATTCTTTTAAATATAACATATTAAAATGATATGTATACTTATTGTTATATTTATAATAGCAATTGTCTTTTAACCAATTTTATTTTAAATAATTTTGGCAACTGAGAAAAAAATTAAGAAATACAACATAATTGAAAAAATTATTATGCCAGGGAGTTCTATTTAGGATATTGTTTAGAGTGCTACTATACATTTTTTACACTTATATTATTTATATTTCTATGTATGATGACGAAATTGACAATGTTGAATATATACACTTAAACCATGTGTAACAACATTAATAGTAATAAATATTAATAAATGATACATACCTACAGTGGCATCATCTAAAAAGTATTTAAATTTTGTAAGGTTCATTTTTCTTTGATGTTTTAAATTTATTTCTGGTATATAATACATCTTCTTTTCCAATTCAATTAAATATAATTCTACTTGATTCTTCCTATGAAGTATCGATTCATATTTTTCACTAAAATTTTTTTTTTTAATAAATTTTGCTGATTTTATCTCGAATTTCAAAAAATTGTTTTCCAAAAAAATTTGTAAAGACGCAATCATAGAGTTGAGTAAATTTTTATTATGCATTGGGAGGTTCACAACACATCTCTGTAAAAAATTATTCAACATATCCAAAATACGACTAAGAAAATTATTTGCTAGATCATTAAAAAGGTTTAACTTTTTGTACGAACTCAAAATTTTTGACACATCTTGGCCCAAAGTTTTGATAGATGGCAGTATAGTAATTTTATAATCATGTGTATTATAATAGTTATGAATTACGTCAATGGAAAATTTAATGTAATTTCCTATTAATACACCAACTGGATGAAAAGTAGCTAGAATAACTAGCTTTTGAAAAGCTCTCATATCATGGTACGAAAATTGGTATTTAATATATCGAAATACATCAGATATTGTCAAATCAGTTCCATCACTACATTTCCTATTAAGTGGAGTAAAGCGAAGCAAATCTAAGTAGTCTTTTGGTTCACCATTTATAAACTGTTGATATTGTCTAGCTTGAGATTTATTCATAATATGTTTTTCATCATCAATTGGCTGATATGTAAGTAAATCATAAAATATTAATATTTTTGGAATAAACACCAGATTATTTTTATTTTTTATGACTTCTGGATTTATTTCCATAATAATTTTTTTCTTGGGATTTTCTAATGCTGAAATCAATTGTTGAACATTTAATTGATCAGGAACATCCATGTCTGTGAAATATTTTGTAAATGATGCAAATTTTACCGCAAGACAGTAATTATTTAAGTGTTGGTTTAAATAATTTAGTAAATTGTAATGAAGAATTTTGTAGCCTTGAATTCTTAAGTATTTTTTATCGCTTATTTTATTGTTTGCAGAAATCACATTCACCGATCCAAAAACATTATTTAAGTATAAATTTATTGCCATCAAATCTGTTGGAAAAAATTTAATGTTCAACATCACCAAATCTTCAATCATAAATAAAATGACATCACAATGAGTTTGAAGAGCTTCGCCATATTTTATCAAATCTTCATCGGATATTTTATCAATATTTGCTTCTAGATACAATAAATATCTTTCATTATATTTAAAATAATTTAACATGTATCTAGAAAAGTTACAATGTCGTTCCTCTGTATCGGTTAAAGTATTAGATTTTGTTGATAAGGGCGTAAGAAAAAAAATGGCTATTAAAATAAAGATAAACATTTTATTTCAAACTTTATTCTAAACCATATAAAACAAATTACAGTAAATAGTTTAATTAAAGAGAATATATTGAAAAATTTGGTGCTAATATTACTTTTTCAATTTGTTTAGTTTCATGTTTTATAAATAACAAATTAGAAAATATTTTTAGTAACGAGTAAATAATATATTAATAAAAGAAGGAAATTTTTTTTGGTATTTAAATTTATTATATGATTTATTTGATAAATTCTATTTTTAAAAACAAAACAATTTTAGAACTAACGTCATATTTAATTTTAAATAATATTAAATACTAAAGAATATTAGTAAATTTTGATTGTTTCAAAAATAATTTACTCTCATAATCATAAATTTTACATTTTCGTTCAAACATAAGTTATTTCGTGTTTAATTTGTTTGTATTAATGTTCTTAGTTTTCTATGGTTGTATTAATGTCTACTTATTACGTATTTTTATTAGAACTTTGTAAGTTTGTAAATGATATTTTATGATAATTGTATTTATAACATCAAATATCATTACTTTTGAGCCTTCTAATCGTTGGTTAAAATAATTTAAATAATAACTCTTAAACTAAATACAAGGGGTTCCCTAATAAGAGTTGAAAAATCTTATAATTTATGATTTATTGAAAAAAATTTTTATTCATTTTCTACATTAGGTTTATATAATAACACCCTAAAATGTATTTTTTAAATAAATAAAATTTTTGAAAATTTTACCAGAAATATAAAAAAATAATAGCTTTTTGTGGAATATATTTTATTAAAAAAATAATTGTAGGAGAGAGTGGGGCAAGATGGTGTTCTTGATTTAAAATACAAAATAATGTTTACAAACATTTTATGGAAAATAATTTTTTAATTCATTTATTAGGGACGGTGTGGCCGAGTTGGTAACGAGGCAGTCCTTGACGCGCACAGTCTCGAGTTCGAAATTCTGTCACCACCGGTGGCTTCATTTGCCATGCCAGAGCTCAGTTCGGTAATTAAAGTCGCCATCCCTCTTTCTGGCAACGGACTAACTACCCATCCCGAAGTATCACTGGTTAAGAACCCTCCTACTTTGGAGGAGGCCGTTAAAATACTTAATGAGCTTATAAAGTATTAAAAGAAATTAAATTAAATTTACTAACCAAATAGTGACAATGTTTCTGTAATAATTTAAATGAACACATATGTTCATTTTTAAACGTAATTAAACCACTTTTTAAAGAACGATATAATATTAATATTTTAATAAAGTATATCATTTTCTAACACGTGAGTTTTTTAATATCCAATTAAAAGAAAGTTATAAAATGTAATTCAATCTGAAGGATTATAGGATATTATTGATTTTTTTTTCACAAATCATTTCTCACTCAAGGCAATTAATTCAAATGTCTAAGATATTTCCGGGTTTATTTCTAGAAAGTGATACATCATCTGCTTATAGTTAAGTTACGGTAACATGAAAAAAACATTCGCTGAGTTGATTCATTTAAATTTATTAACTGGGTGGTAATAACAACAAAACTCACAAATGCATTTTTATATTTAATTTTGTTACACTATCAAACATAACAGCAAAGCTTGACGGCCACAATTTGTATTTAATTTATTAAATGCGTACGCGTGTTTTATGTTTTTCGATCTTCGAGTATAAATAATTAATAACCCAAAGAAACCACCTACGTATGCGCATAAGTTTATATTATTATATGAAAACGTATTAAATTTGTTATTTTTCATAATAGGTTCTCTCATTATTTATATTCGATGCGATTATTCTTGTAAAATATATTGGAATTGATAATAAAATACTTTAATATGCTAGTAAAATGTATTTAATCAAAAAATGTGCGAAATACATTTTTACTGATAAGTCAACGGAGACTAATCCAATACATTTCTTTAGGTATAATTAAATAAATTTATAATTATTATTTCGTATATTCCCATCTATAGATGTTTTATAGCATTCATTATAATATCATAATCTATTTAAACTAAGAATTATAAAAAATTGTATTTCATTACTTAAGATATAATTTAAATATAAAAAACAGACCATGGTAAATTCATAGTAGTATACTAGTTATTAATATAGAAGTTTCTAAAATAAAAATATTGTTATAAAATATATTGTATATTTATGTTTCTTTGATGATTATTTCACATCGGTTTCATTGAATTATTATAATTGAAAGTTATAATTTTTCATAATCATTGAACATTTATAATTTTTGGTTTTATAACAATTGACTAACTATATTACAATATTATATTAAGTAATTAATATTTATAATATAAATCATTTATTTATTTTTCAAAAATAAAATAATTATATGAATACGCTAAACTAACGTCTTTTAAAAATATTTTATTGAAATTAATTTCCTAATAATTCATATTAAAGTAAACGTCAATATTGTAAACACAAATCAACAATCACAGTAAGCGATTACTAGGACTTGATTTCCGTTTTGATTTTAGCTATTTAATGATAATTAATTATATTAATTGAATATACTAAAATAAAGCGGAAAAAAAATGCTTAAATAGAAATAATTTTGTACAAGTGCATAAGATTGTCTATATGCACGTTGATCACGTGCTAGTCGTTATCGTTCGCTATCGAATATAAGTATACAATCTAATAATAATATAATTAATACCTGCAAACCAACACCAATAATTAAAATTATTCGTTTGTATAATAAAAAATTATTGATCGATTAATCCCACAGCGGCATTTAATTAATATTTTTATAATTCAATCGATTAATTTCTTCATGATTTAATATCTTCTTCAGCACGACCTCGATCCTCCCCATCCTAAAATAATAGTAAGATTTTGTAGAAATTCACGTTTGCAGCACATTTGCCATCTTTTATAAAAAATTCAAACTTCATACAATTCACACCTACAAATGCATAAAACTGTATTGCATATTTGTAATGTTTAAAACACATAAAACCACCAAAAAAATTTAACCGTAATTTTGTTTTTCGTAATAAAAAACATACAGCATTATTAACAGCTACACATATATAATTATATGGTGTCAGTTTCTACCTGTCAGTAACAATTAAATTATGAGATTACTTTTTTAATGTAACATAAATTCAATAAAATTATTTTACAAAGTATGAATAATGCTATTTTATAATAAGTATAAGTTTTTTTATAATTTCAATCCCCTCCATTTTAATATTTACGACCATAATTTTCAAATTGAATAGCAAACTGCAACGTATTTTAAATTTTATTTAATAGTTGTGTATAATTATGACCCAAAGATATATAAAAGACTCTACCAATTTTTCCGTAGAGTTTATTTTATCAATTATTTATTAACAAATTTTAAATTCAAAATTCACAGACAGTTACAGTTACACTCTAATAATACATAAATTGATTTCATTCCATCGATTTGGTATGAATTACGAATATTATTTTTTCCACAGTGTAGGTACAAACTTTTTAGGAAAAGTGAAATATTTTTCTAGTTACAGTGTTCAATTACTTTTTAACTTGAATTAATTATTTTAAATTTAAACCAATATATATTCATGATTTATTTAAAAAACTTTTGTCATTTTTTTTTTCGTTTTCTTCTAAGCTTTCTAAATATTAAGTATTTTCCTTGTTGTATTATATAATAAGATAGTTTTGATTAATAAATTTGTAATGCGATAACTGTTTGCTATGCTTGTCGTCACTTTTTATTATTAATCAAGAAAATATTATGCCTCTATTTTTGTTGTGAATTTCAGCTATTAATAATATAATATTTTTCAGCTAATAATAAAATATTTGTTAATTATCTAAATCTTTTTTTTTTAATTTTAATGGGATAATCTTCCTAAATACTCTAATTTTAGTTTATGCTTTTAATAATTTTTAAAAATGTAATAACAAACGATGTTTTGACTTATATAGGTAAAATTATCTAGATAAATATTCTATAGTAATCAAAATTGTCATTTTAGATAAAAATTTGAAAAACACGTTTATATTTCATAAATACGTTTAGATAAATTAAAAATATGCAATTATCCAAATTTTTTTAATAACGTTGTGTGACGTTAAAATTTAAAAATATCAATAATTCTTTGGTTGATAAATTGTGGTTTACATAACACCAATAGATTTGATATCGATATTTTATTTTTTCGTAACATTTATATTAGGAGTTATTTATATTAAAATGTGTTATTTTATCGTTGTTAATAGTGTTTCCGGATGACTTGATGGTTTACAGGTGCATATTAAAGTCTATCACTGTATTTGCGTTATTTTATATTATAGTCAATGTATCCTTATTAAAATATTTTTCCAAGTTATTTTTCATACGCTATGAGTTATAAAAATTATTTTTAAAGATAATAAAACCAATGATCAATAACATACACAACTAATGATGGATGGAGAGAAATCGGTGCACAGTTGTTTACATAACGTTGTTAGTTCACCTACCCAACTATGTACACGCGTACTTTGATACTGTGTGACAATATACAAAGAAACGCTTTATAAATTTTAACCTTTATGATTTTTTTCAAAATTAAATTATTGAATATCAAAATAAAGTGTAAGTATTATAATTCCTAAAACATACCAGTAACTAGGGATTAAATTCTGAAAAATTTTGCTTATAAGATATTCTATTTATGATCTTTATTATTTTGTAACTTGAATAATACAACTGCAACAGTTAAAAATAAAATATTACTTAGGGTAATTTGAAATCCTACTTCACTAAGATAGCTACGATTTCATTTCGAGGAAGTATTAACGAAAATGTGTTTCCTCTGCACAAACTAATCCAATTTTGGAATTGTAAATATGTCATTTTGAAAATGTTCATAGAGTTAGTCCATGAGATGTGGATCTCTCGAAGTTCTTGTCTGACCCCATAAGTCTTCAAAATGTATTAAAAAATTTACATTTTTACATTATTAGTTACAATTATCTTTTATCTTTATCTAGATAATTATAGTATATAATT